TCCCTAACGTTCTGTGATTCTGTGAACACAGCGTAACTTGTACAGCAGAAGGAAAATGCTGAAGCCCTAAACCTGCTGCTTCCTTCCTTGTTGAGCTCCCTTTTCTCGCTAGGAAGGTTGCTCTCTCCTGTGGCTGGATTGGCAAAGTGTGAATTAACTTGGTGAATTCAGAGTGCGCTTGTAGACTTCATAGGTTTGGTCTGTTCTCAGGCTAATTTTTAGGCCCCTCCTCACTCAGGTGTTTGTCAGAGAGGGGCAGGTGGGAGGCTGCAGCCAGCAATACACTGAAAAACAGGAAAAGGCAGGACAAGGCAATCTTTCTTACTGTGTTGGTGTTCACCCTCACAGTTTGTGGCCTTGTCTTAGGAGGCTGTGAACATGCATAGCTTAGGTTCCATGCAATTTTTAAATTTTTCTTATAACAAAATCACTTTTATCAGTCTCATTCTTCAAAACAAACAAACAAACAACTTGGTTAATGCTCAGGTGGTTTTGCTGTAAGCAATAGTAAATATTTTTCATGCCTTTTAGTACCCAGGGCACTATTTTGGATTTGAGGAGTGATATGGCTTTCAGGGTACTGGGACTGAGTTTTAACAGTAATTCTGTTAATATTGGTCTCATTAAAAAAAAAAAAAAGTTAATTAGCCAGGTTATCTTTTGGGTGTGTTCAAATTGTGATGGGACAGATTTAATATAAATTGTTATTGAGAGGCACCTTTCTCAACAACAGAGATAGCAGTAGCAATTGTTTTTAAAGGTCTTCTGAACTACAGGATTGAACCTGCCCTTTAGGAAGACAGATAAATGTTTATCACAGAGGACAATGTTGATTTTGGTTGTTTTTCCTTTCTAGAGTGCTTCTGAAGAAATCTGGCTGTAAAATACCAAGAATTGAACTGGAAGAGATGGGACCTTCATTAGATCTGCTTATGAGGAGGACACATTTAGCTTCAGATGACCTGTATAAGCTGTCTTTAAAACAACCGAAAGCCCTGAAGGTTCGTACCTTGGAAAGTATATTGCTTCCAGATCTATCTGTGAAGAAGAGCAAAAGCTGAAGTATTACATATTGGATATTGGACCAAAGCTTACTTTTGTATAGGCCACCTGAGATTTCTGGGGCCACAGCACTTCTGTGGTGATCAGCTGCCATTCCAAGTCTCCTCTGTGGGCATATAAAACATACAGAACAAATCTTAACCTCTAAGCTCCAAACAACATATGCTGCAGCCTTACTTTTAGGCACTTGATTCTCACCATAGCTTCTGGCACTTTCTACTCAGAAATACTGATTTTGTTCTTTCCCTGCAGCCTAAGAAGAAAAAGAATATCTCCCATGATGTGTTCGGTACAACCTACGGTCGAATCCACATGCAGAAGCAAGATCTTGGTAAACTGCAGACGCGCAAAATGAAAGGGTTAAGAAAGAGGCCGGCAGAGAAGTCAGCTGGAGATGGTGGGGTTAGTCCCAAAAAGTCAAAATCGGCTTGATAGTGGAACAGCTTTGAAAACTTTGTACCTGCAAATTTAGTATACATTGTAATATAAATGTGTTAGACATAAAAGTTTCAGCTGCTGTTAGCTTTAGTTTTATAAAAGAAGCTTTTTAATGGTTTGCCATTTTAAAGGGAACATGGGGCTATTGAGCTTTAACATGGAACTTGGTTATTTAAAATAAAAATGTGATGTAACTTAGTTTTCTGAAGCTGTATATTTATTCTCTTGGTGTTAGCAAACATATGCTAGTCAATCAGGTGGCTCATTTCCCGAACAGTTTTATAGCTTAATGCTGGGAACCCTTGATCAATCAACTCATAAATATGTATAATATATGCAACTCAACTTCTCCGTTCATCTATTTATGTATTTTAGGTTTTGCACAACTGCAGTACTTGGTAAACTCTAAGCCATTTTCTGGTGTGAACTCACCATATGTCTCTGGTTCCAGACTGTTTTTAACTATTGTGCCAAGCCCTACTTTACACTTGCAGAGTCAGGAGTGATTGACGTGTTTTTACTGTGTTCATCACCATGGTAGCAAAGTATCTGGTGTTTGCTTTGAGGCATAAAGGAAACCGTTACAGTTTGAATTTCAATCTTTGATGCTTGATTTGTGCCCAGAATGGAAGTTATGTGAAGCAACCATGAAAGGTACAGATCTTTCCTTCTTACCCTGCTTTCCTCCTGAGTTTGTGTTAGTGACTAGCTCACGAGTTAGTGAAGACTCAGTTAAAGACTTGGGTAAAAGAGAAGAGAGTTTAAGGGCTTATTGAGACTTTAGTGTGGTGTCTCATGTTTTGGAGCATATTGAAAAAACCTGCTTTTTTTCTTCTTCTTGTCTCTTTGGAACCTATTACTGTGCTCTTTAGCATAATTGTCATAAAAGTGTGCACACTGTCATGAACACAGCAAGTTTGCTCATCCTAATTAGGTTTCTAATACTTGATCTTTTCATGTTAGTTTTCTCAGTGTAATCAGCTGAAGTGTCACATTAGAAATGGGCAGTTTGTTATTTTCTCTTGTCTTCTGCACTCTGGGTGGAAGCTGCTGGGCAGCTTTGCTCTCCTTGGGAGAGAGCTGAGCTGTGACCATGGCTGTGCAAATGTCACACATGATGGTCTTGCTGTGATGGTTTGATAAAACTTGTAGTGTGAAAAGGAGAGGGCTTCAAAAGTCTGGGATCTTTTTGAGGGCACAGACGTACTCATCTTCAGTATATTGCCTTTGTTTTAATCATTGCATAAAATAAAGTGCATGGCTCTCTAAATCCCTTTCTCCAATCTACAACCATGTGTTTGAGAAATTGATAATTCCATAAACTACTTCAGATTTGTATTTGCTATCTTATCTTTCTGAAGTGCAAATCACGCTTTTGACTGAAAGCCGTTTGGTAACAGCTGTGGAAGAATTATACTAACAGGCATGCTGTCTTTGATGACCTTACAGTTGTAAAAGAAATAGTAAAAGACTCTTAAGTTTGTAAAAGACAGCATGTCCATAGTCATAAAAGACTGTAAGCTGTATTTTCCTAATTTGGAAGCTAATTTCAGTGCTTAATTTTGTGTTTAAAAACTGAATTTTGTAGCAGTAACATAGACCATCTAATGTCCTGTTACCCCTTAATGTAGAAAGGGAGACAGTGATGCAGCAGTAGCCCTCAGAGAGGAGCTGTTGCATCCAAAGCTGGTGGTTTTGTTTAATGGTGCTGTTGATTTGCTTCTTGTCTGAAGAGGAAGCTCGGGCAGGTGAGGGCTGCTGCACCTTCTGACAGCTGAGTGAGGTTAATGCGCTGCTTCAGAGAGGTGCAGAGTCCTCGAGCACAGGGAATCGGTCACGGGAGAGCCCTGGTGCATTTATTCGCCCTTTGCAGGGTCTTTTGTCTGTGTTGACTCGAGATGGAACCTGAAGCGCCCAATATCCCACCTCTGCGGCTGTTTGTGTGAATACCCTTTTATTCTTGGTATTTGTACTGGTGCAGTACAGCCACATGGTGAATAAAATGTATTAGATATGTGAAACAAGGGGAAATTCTGCGTATAGTGTAAGGATATTTAGGCTATGCTTTTTCGTACTAATCACTTCCAAGTTACGTTCTTAGTAAGGATTAAAATGTGCTCTATTTCTAATAAATACTTTGCACTGCTCAAACTGGTGTCATTTTGGTGCAAACCTCGAGTGGGAAGTGGCAGTGCTCTCATTTGTCATGGCAGGAATGAACCACGCTGATCTCTATAGGGTAAAGCCAAATTAGCAGCTGAGTTCACGTCCTTCCTTTCAGAGAAGTTTCAGCTTTGCTGTGAAGCCCTGATCAAGCCACAAGGCTGGTGGCCAACACGACTTCAGATGTATAGCATGCGCAACTGCACCTCTGCGTGGCAGGCAGTTGCGATATTCTGAGTATCTGATTTAACTCAAGGTGAACAGAGATAGGAGGGCTAAATACAGCCTTTTAAGTGGCATGTTCTTGTTTCCCAGCGTCTTTCTAAAGCGTGAGGAAATTTGCCAGGTGCTGCAATGCAGCTGTGTGCATGGGGAACAGAACAGGAGGTGCTCAAAGGACAGCTGAGGGAAGGGGCTGGCCTTGCCTCCGTTGCCCCTTGCTTCCAGAGTTCACCAGGCTCTGAAAACACTTAAACACAGCCCCGGGGTCTGCGTGGCACAGGCAAGACACAACTGGCATGCTCACCCCTTTCCTCTGGCTTTCATCTTCTTACCTCCCAGCGCACAGGAGATAGCTTTATTTATGGGTTGAACGTTGTCATAAATTGGGTTTTGAGAAAATGCCTGTGGGCAAAGCGTGGCTCCCAAGGCTGTACTTGTGCGGTAAGGCAGAGGTGGAGTTGCAGATCAGCAGTCAAAGCTGTGCTGTCTCCAGCTGCAGCGTGCCAAGGGCAGGGAAGGAGACATTGGTGCCTTCTGTGGACTCTCGGTTTGTATGCAGATGTTGTCCAGCTGTGCTGCTGGCAACTTCATTGCTACTGGCATTATAGGTAACTAATGGTGTACACAGAATTACATAGCCTGTCTGTACTGTAAGTTTACTTGGCTCTTTTTATGTGTGGTGTAATTAAAGAAAGTAAGAAGAAAGGCAGATATTGTTGATTGGTGTGATGTGCTAGGTTCTTGGGATTCCCACACTTTTGGAAATCAGTCCTGTGCAGGTCTAATCACAGCCTTAGTTCTGTGCTGTGTAGTGTGCCAGACTGAGCACTGAGAGCAATGAGTGGTGTGTGTTTGAAAAGAGCATATGAACTCCTTTCTATTTCCTGGATTTTTTGGGTTTGAGTTTATCTTTACAGTTCCTTAGCAACCTTATTTGTTTTCACTAAGTGCTTTCTGGGTTTGGTTTCCCTCCCCCACTGGCTTGGTTGCAGCTGGGGAGGGTTGGAAAAGAGCACGAGGGGAAGAAGGACATCACAGAAATACCGGGTATCGTGCTGACTGCTGCATCCCCCAGCCAGGGGAAAAAGGGCTGGCCACTGCTTATTCCAGATGCTATCAAATGTAAGGGGGTGAGGAGACTAGAGCAGAGCTGTGTTAAGAGACCTTTTCATTATTAAAGCGAGAAAAGTGGAAAATGTTAGCTGTGCATAATATATATAGCACAGTCATACATAATACATGTTAACATGTGTATTACATGTGGTGCAGACGGTTCTCCCGTCTCCCAGTGCAATTTATCTCCCTCTTTGGGTTTTGCTGAAGTGTCTCTAGCAGTGCTGACAGATCCCAGATGCAATCCAAAGACACAGCTGAGAAATAGGTCAGTTTTATCAGAAGTCGGGTTTCCTAAAAATATACAAGGAAAAGAGACATAAGGATCCTGAGCATGAAGCCTGTGTAGGATTGTCTTCCTAAATGGATGAGTGTTCAAAGTGAACAACACGGCTAACGCTGTACAGGATGAACAGCTTTGCTGCCATGCATCTATGCAGAAGATAGGGAGGAGGAGCTGGCAAAGACATTTTGGGAGGACTTAGGGTTTCTGAGAGACCTACCTGAAGAGGTTGGGTACTGATCATGGTAGGCAGGAGGGACCTAAGTGCTGTGTGGGCAAAGAAATTAAAATGGGCATTGGGAGAGGAAATATTTACAGGTAATCTGGGATCAAGCCCTATCCTGGATCATAAATAACATGGGAATAATCTACTCGGAGCAGTGAACGCAGTAGACGTATGCTGATTAAGAAAGTTCTAGAAGGCGTCTGTCCCTCATTCATTCTTGTTTTCTTTGACTTTCAGTCATATTCTATCTACTTGATCTTTTTTCTTTTTTTTTTCTGCTTCTCTAAGATAAGCACAGAGTAATCCAGGGGAAGTAAAGTTTTGAGCAGAACTTAACAGAAAGCTTGTGTGCTTAATTACATTCCCCCAAATTCTCATGTTCCCTCTTTCCCCCTTGATAATCCCACAATCCTTCCTGTGATGCAACACACCACTATAAAACCCGGAGTTCCCACTCCATCCAGACACAGCTGCAGTGACCCATTTTGTACTGTTTGTCCAGATAATCTCTGTGCTGGCAGAAAGTTGAGTTTCTGGTCCTTTATTGCTCATGGTCACATTAAGCTCGTCTTCCTGCTCGACTAGCGGTCACGATATTGGTCTCTCTCATCTTTCTCAGTCATCTTCTGCACTGGCCATTATTTGCTTAATTCCCTGTTCAGTTGATCACAGGGAGCACATCTGGGCAAAGTGAAACAAGGCATCAAAAGCCACATTTAGCGTCCAGAGGCAAAGAGGGGAAAGGATGAAGAGCTGCCCTGTCAACCACAGTATTAGGCATGTTGGTCAGGCAGGAACATGTGCAGGAAAAGTCTAACCAGGCCCATTTCTCCAGTTGTTACTAAAGTGGGAGGAGGTGAGCAAGGGCACTGAGCTGGTGGTGCCAGTGGAAGGGATGCCAGGCTTTGCTCACCAGAGTTGGAGGGAGATCCTTGATTGATTATCCCCTGCCAGGGGATCGCATATATCTGCCTTATGCCACACTGCCTGCAAAGATCTGAGTGACACTCAAAAAACTGAATTTTTTACATATGCAATGTTGCAATGCAAAGTAAGATGAATTTAAAATATATCTTTTATCTCCCTCTTTCCTGACATT